TATGACAAATTACTTACCTCTTTCAAAAATCCTAGGAATCTAATTTACTTCTTCCTTGGTTGTCAACTTAGAGACCTAGAAACAACCAATATCCAAAATCAATTCTTAAATCCTATCCAAGGATTTAAAATTCAACCAATTACTAATCAATCTTATCTACCCAATTTTCTCATTCAAAACACTTTTTTTATGCAAAATAATTAAGAAGTATGGATTTAGGGCTACAAAACCAATCTGAAAACTAGGTTAAAAAGTCTCTAAATTTAACAATAACAAACTTTAAAATTAGAAGAATCGATATAAATTAATACGGACTAAATTTACAAAAAGTTTCTCAACAAAACAAGTTTAAAAGCCTTATAATCAATTGAAAATTTGGGGATTTTAAATATGAAAAATTTTCTGTTTTATAAAATAAAACTTCCAAGCAATTTCCATAAAACAATTAACAATTTACTAATTTTTATAGAAAAAATCAGATTTGAAAACCATATAGAAAACCTTTAAAACTTGGTAAAAACATATAATTTTTCATGTAAAAATCATAACAATAAACTATAATTTATAAGATACAAATAGGTAAACTTTTTATGCAAAAAGAGTCTCAAAATAGCCCAAAAACAGTCTTATAAACAAAAAGATTCAAACCAAAAATTCTGGAAAATTTTTAGGGTAAAAATTCCTTAAAATCTTTTATTCTAAAAAAACAAAAACCTCAAAACTTTTCTCAATAAACTGAATTAATGAACTACAAATCAAGAAAAATAAAACTAAAACAATGAGGAAGAAAATCTTACCGATCTTTGAGAGAAAATACCAAAACTCTTCTTCTTTTCTTTTCTTTTTCTCTTTGAGAGAAAACTAGGTCTAGCAGTTTAAGAAAAATAAAACGAAGGGTTTAAAGGCTTTTATAACAAACCCTAATGAATCCTTATTTAAAAAGGATAATAAAAAGATAAAGATTTAATAAAACTCTTTCTTTTTTATTTTTTAAATTCTAAGAACAAATTATCTTTTAAAATAATTTTTAAAACAAAAATTTATATTTTTTGAGAAAATAAAGAAAACAACTAAATAAAAATAATAATTTAAATATATATATAATCAATCCCAAATAAGAGTAAGGCGAATTGGACATTTTTTTTCTAATATCTCTTTCTTGTATTGAAATTATTTTCCTTTTATTATCTCTTAATTTTGTGCATTCAAATTATCTATAAAGAGTTCCTTTTTGTGAGCGACAAATTATTGAAAGGTGTAGACTCTTATGGGAGAAAAAAGTTGAGTTCGAGTTGAGGTAATGTGAAGATTTCTCAACCAAAGAGAGAAATTAGAGATTTCAATATTTAAAAGGAGAGTTATTTTGTTATTTCTACGCTAAGTCAATATTTATATTTGTACTAATCTTTGATAAATTTTTAATTCGTATGTCTAATACATTTTTCCTATTACGTTTCTAATTAAGATTATACATGTGTTTTTCTTATGGATAGATAATTGCATTATTCATCTTTATAATACATTTTGCTTGGATTTATCTACTTCCAAGACTTTAGATAGTTAATTTTGGACTATCAAGTTTTCAACTGTGTTTTTCTTCTTCTTGTAAGTTGCTATTTACAAACCTTGTTCTTCAAACTAGTTTACAGTGATTTGGATTGAAAAGGAGTAGCACTGTAGGAGCATTTTGAATGGGTGAGGAAAAAAATAGAGAACAAATGATTTATATTCCACCCAATTGAACTAGCAACATGTTAATTACAAACGGTGTTGGGAAAAAATCTCCTACTTCTAGCGCAGGAATAAGCAGAAAATAACTGAGAAATTTAAATAAAGCAATAAAATAAAGAAATACAAGAATTAACGTGTAAAAACTCCAAACCGGAGAAAAAACCACGGCCCACAAGAGAAAATCCACTATGTGAAAAATTATTATAATCACACAGATTTCTCTTACCGACTCAATTATACAAAGTACTCTTTCAAAGCAAATACTGTTCACTTAACTAGAGCTGGTATACCTCGCTTAAAGTATTTCAATTGGGATGATAAAAACCCAAGCTCATGAGCTCCTTTTATAGTAGTTGGAACACATCTCCTCCTTGTACTTTTCTGATGTGAGACAACTTCTAGCACATGGAAACCATCATTGTATTCTTCCAATGTGGGACAACTTCAATTCCAATATTTTGCCAAAACCAAACAAACGGGAGATCAACAAAACTAAGGGACAATGCCCTGCTTAAATGACCTACCAACAAAGAAACAACTACTTATGGTTTTGGTAAATCATTGAATCTATAAAATAGTCTTATAATTAGTTCAAACTTCCGACAAGTTCAAGGTAGAAAGGAAAATTAAATAACCATGACAACGATGTTAATCCAAGATAAATGTCCACCGATCCTCACGCAACAATATTCTGACGCATATGTGACGATTTACAAACAAAAAGAAATAATATAAAATGACAATACCCGAAGATTGACGAACATAAGCGTTCACCGACAGCGTCTAGTGGCAATGACGCTCAGCAGCGGCGGTGGTGTCCAGCGACGACGACGTTCAGCGGCACTCTCAACACTTTAGCGGCAAGTTTCAGCGACTTCGACTGTATTCCGAGATTCGGCGACGTTTGATCCTGAATGAGATTCAGCGATGTTCGACCCTCAACGACGTCGATCTTCAACAACAGTGTTCGGGACCTCATCGACGACATTCAACAACAGCATTCGCGATGGATTCGATAGATTGGGCAGCGTGGTCTTTCACCATGGAGGGAGGGGAGGCTCTGCTCACAATGGAGAAAGGGAAAAGATATTTAGGGCGAGAAAGGGATAAGGAGATTTAGGGTAAAAAAATAATAAAATTAATGGAAATTTACCCCTTCCTAAATGTTTTTTTTAAATATAATATAAAATAAATTAAAAAATAACATTTGTTTTTAATGGGTACACAATTTACTTAGCGAGAATTTCTACCGCCTAAATTTTAGGTTTTTATGTTTTGTTAGCTTAAATTCCAATAAATTAACTTTAAAAATCTTTAAGTTAATTTCCCTTTTTTCCTCTATTTTTTCTCTATGCTTTGTAATTTACAAATTTCAACAAAAATTTGTATTTTCTTTTTTCTAAGATTTGTAATTTCAAATTGCAATCTTTGGAATTGAAATTGTAAGTATTAATTAATTTTTTTGGATGGAAGAAAAAAATCTATGAACATTTTTGTAATTAAAATATATAGATAAAATGAAAAAGTAAAAAATAAAATTTACAATTGGTTGGGAGTTAATATTTAAATAATATTTTGACTTATATCTATTTATAAAATCTATAAATTTAAGGGTCCATTTGATAATGATTTCTCTTTTTAGTCTTTGCTCTTTTTGTTTTTAAAATCAAAATTTGTATATGTTTAATAACTATTTTTCATTTTATGCTTTTAAAAWGTTAAAAAATTGGAAATATATGTTAGAAGGAAAAAATTCTATATAGAGTATAGATGATAATGGTGTAAGGCGAGAGTGAGGATGTTCTCCCTCATTCATGCCCTTGAAAAAAAAAATCGTTAGCACAAATAGAGATATATTTTCTTATTAAAAAACACAGCTCACCATTTCATGACGTTTAAAAAATATCATAGATAATGTCAAATTCGTTAGTTGTCACAAAAATGAGTCCACCTTATTTCTGCACACCCTTTCATTACGTTTTATAAACATCACTAAAAATATAGATTTCCCACTTATGGTGACGTACAAAAAACACCACGAAAAACCTCACCCTTTTATGACGCGTCTTAAGTGTCACGATAAGGTTAGATTTCGAACTCTTCGTGTTGTTTTTTAGACGTTGTGAAAAAAGACAAAAATTTGGTTTTCCTGCCAAAAAACGGGTCTTTTCATTTTGTGACGATTTTAAAACGTCACGGAAAAGTCGGCAATCTGAAGAACTCCATCTTTTCCCGTCAAAAAATGGTCCTCTACATTTCATGACGTTTATTAAACGTCACGAAAAATGTACTTTCGACTTTTTGGTGACGGTTAGAAAAATGTCACGAAAAATAAAAAATCTAGAACACTCCGTCATTTCCGGCAAAAAACGTGCCTCACCTTTGTGACGTTTAAAAAACGTCACGAAAAATCAATTGTTTGCCAAACTTTCGTGACGGTTAAAAAACGTCATGGAAGACCACAAATTCGGAAATCTCTGTTTTTTTCCTCGAAAAACACGTTTTTACCTTTCGTGACGTTTTTATTAAAATTTGAACAGTATATTTACTATTCATGAGCATCACAAAAACCTAAAATTGTAGTAGGGTTGATTTTGAACTTTTTATTTTCAAGAGAATTATAGGTATTAATAGTTTGTATTTTCAATATTATAAGAAAAAAGGTATGAAAAATATATTATTTTATATTTTAAATTTCATTTATAATTAAAAATTAAAATAAATACATAACAATATTATAGTATATATATTATATACAATATGAAAAATATGAGGCCCTCTTAGAACTAGTTATAGCTTAGGTCGATCCAACATCCATTCACCGCATCACCTAACCAGATCCATCTTCCTAGATTTCTTTCTCTCTTGCTTCATCCCTTCAGTCTCCTCTCTTACCATTCGTCGACTCGTCTCCAATCGTCTTCCTTAGTGCATTGTCTTCTTAAGGATTTGCTCGACTTGACCAGAAAATGTAATGTTGGAAAAGATCTAGAATCAAGGAGATATAATTTGCAATAAAAAAAAAAAGAAACAAATGAGTTAGAATGTAGGAGAGATAGTCGGAATATTTTTATTTTAAAAATAAATAACTAAACAGAAAGGATAAAATACTCAAAATCAAAGACAGCTGGAAAAATTAAATGTATATTTATAATTATAAGATTATTTGTCCATTTCTGGATGAGAATGACAAATAGAAACACCTACTCTAAATTCTCTAAGAAAGGGGTAAGAAATATAATCACTATAATAGTTTCATTTAAAAATGATAAATGTTTTGGTTTGAAGCACCAACAATCGATTCGAGTTCAACCTTCAGATGCACCTTGCTCCAAGACTGAGGTGCATCCACCACCTAAATAACACACCAAACTCTTCCCTTCAACTCAAACAAATTCACGCCCAATTGATTACCAATGGTTTCAAATCCCCCTCCCCTTTCGCCAAACTAATCGCCCAATTCTGCGACAAATCTTCCCCCCAAGCCACCGCCCACGCCCATTTGATTTTCAAGCACCATCGCCCAAATCTTTTCCTCTTAAACACTTTCATAAGATCCAGCCCTCCTCAACATTCCATCCCCGTTTTCGCCAAGTGGGCCTCCACCGGCGACTTGGAATTCGACGATTTCACTTTCATTTTCGTGCTTGGAGCTGCCGCGCGAGCCCCATCGTTGGCAGCGTTAATGATCGGTAAGCAAATTCATACTCAGATTTTCAAACGTGGGGTTATTTCAAACATTTGGGTTCAGACTACGGCAATACATTTTTATGCGAGTAACAAAGATGTGAGCAGTGCACGAAAGGTGTTCGATGAAATGTCTGTCAGAAATAGCGTCACCTGGAATGCGATGATTGCTGGATACTGCTCACAAAGTGAAAGGGTTGCTGAGAAATATGCTCGAAATGCGTTGGAATTGTTTCTGGTCATGTTGGTTGATTCAAATTCTGAGGTGAAACCGACGGATACTACAATGGTCTGCCTTCTTTCTGCTGTATCTCAACTGGGTGTGGTTGAAACAGGAGCTTCTGTTCATGCATATATAGAGAAAACAATTCATTCCCCTGAAAGTGATGTGTTTGTAGGCACAGGTCTGGTTGATATGTACTCTAAATGCGGGTGTCTTCACAGTGCTTCATCAGTTTTTAAGCAAATGAAGCAGAGGAACGTCTTAACCTGGACAGCAATGGCGACCGGACTGGCGGTTCATGGGAAGGGGAAAGAATCATTGTTGCTCTTGGATTCGATGGAAGCTCACGGTGTGAAACCGAATGCAGTAACATTCACCAGCCTGCTTTCTGCTTGCTGCCATGGGGGCCTAGTTGAAGAGGGGCTCCATTTGTTTCGTGTCATGGAGAGGAAATTTGGGGCTGTGCCTCATATGCAGCACTATGGTTGCATTGTGGACCTTCTTGGGCGTTCTGGGCACTTGAAAGAAGCATATGAGTTGATAATGGGGATGCCAATGGAGCCTGATGCTGTTCTATGGAGGAGTTTGCTGAGTTCCTGTATGAGTCATGGTGATGTTGAGATGGGAGAGAAGGTGGGTAAGCTCCTTGTGGAGAGACAGAGAGGAAGGCATGGTTTTGAGGAGTGGTGTGTTGGAAGTAGTGAGGACTTTGTAGCTTTGTCAAATGTTTATGCTTCTGCACAAAAGTGGGGGGATGTGGAGGCTGTAAGGGAGGAGATGAGGATCAAAGGGATTGAAAACAAGCCGGGGTATAGTTCACTTCAAACTACTGGTCCTCGAGGATTGGAGGGTTTATAGGTATTACACAATTAGTTTCACTTTTGGAAAGCTGTTAATAATGTTTGGTAATGTCTTTGTTTTGAGTTTTCTGTTTTTAAAATTTATGCTAATTTACTTATATTCAGCTTTCTTTTGCAATCATCATAGTCAAAATTCAAAAGCTTTAACAAAGTTGTTTCACAAACCTGACTTTTGTTTTTTTTATTTTTTATAGTTTGGTTAAGATTTCAAAAGTTTTTCTAAGAAGAGATAGGATAAATAAATAAAAAAAAACTAGTGCCATAATTAGATATTATATACTTCATTTTAACCAATGGAAAACTAAAAATAAAATCGTTATGAAAAAAAACTATATTGAAGTTTGTTATGACTTTTGAAATAGTGAAAAATATTTTTAGTTAATTAAAAACATTTTTTTAATTTTATAGGCTGTTTGGTTTGGTGGTCAAAAGCAACTTTAAAAATTCTAAAAATACTTAAAATAGTTTAAGTTGTTTGTGGAAGAAGGAATTAACTAGAGCTTTAACCTAGGAAACACGGACACTTATTTTTGGGCGAAGTATCTGTGTCGGACACGTGTCCGACACGGATACGCCCGGACACGTGTCAGACACGCCAAAACGCGTGTCTGATTTTTTTTAAAATCAGACACAGCTGGGACACGGCTGGGACACGGCCTGGACACGGCCTTGGAGGTTTTCTGGGCCCAAATAAAAAGGCCCAATGCCCATGAGTAATTTAAAAAAAAAAACAAATAAATGATAAAAACCTAA